AGGAAAATCAATTTGGTGTCTTTAACTCTTATATATATATATATAGTCTTGGACAGATTGAGAGACATGACTAATGCTGATCAAGAATATATACTTGTATTTCTTTCATGAGTTCGAAAATGCTGCCTTTTTCACTTTGTATCTTTAAGATACCTACATGGCATAAAAAGTGTTCTTTTATCGCAAAATTAATTCAATAAGAGCCAAAATCTCTTTATCATATTGCTGATATACAAGTAGGTTAGATTACTCCACTGGACCATCATTTGTAGCCCCCCATAGACCCAAGTAATGTTGCCGTCAGTATGCTACTGTAAATGCTACGATCGTTTAAAGGTCCGTTGTGGTGCAGTCTCCGTTCTACTGCTTAGCTTCCTGCCGATCTAACTCTTTCCGCAGTCTTGTAAGGCAACACTTCCTGTTACGTAGGATGGATGTCTAGGGGAACGACTCCAAGCAGCATGCCCAGGGCTGTGGTTGTAGCGTTTCTCAGCACCCCTGTGACACAAATGTGAGCCTGCCCTTGAATCATTTTATGTCCTTTTGTTTACAACAAAGTTCTTTAGAAAGCTTGTAGAAGTCAACACATTTACCTGTGTGATCGATAATAATTACTTATGCATTTATAAGATCGATCATCGATAGTAATGCAAATGTCAAACTCTAATAAATATATGTTAATTAATAATCAAAATATAAAGGGAGGAGAGCTGAGCTAAGGAAGTTTAATGCTTGCCTTTAGAGCAACACAGTCACACTTGCAATAAGCCCATTAATCCTAATAAAATCTATAAGTCGATAATCTGTAGAATCTGCCGAGATCAGTGTATGAAATACCCATCACTATTCCGTCACGCAAACCAGCAAAAGTTTATTGTACATACTTGTATTACTCATTAGTTGCTGGTCACCCGGCAACTGTTAAAAATTGTATGTCTCAATAGATCCCGATACTAATGGACAGCTATGGGAATGCTAGGGCGATAAGCGCTTAGCTTTCAGCTTCTGGCCATTAATAGCTGACAAATCGCAGCTGCACGCGACTCGTTACTCGCCGCCGCTCTCTGTTGTACGAGTGGTTGAAACCAACAATTACGCAGCAAATTAAAATCAAATAACTTACCACAAAAATCGCATGCCATAAAAATCACATGCAAATTATAGGTATCCATTGCCATGGCAGAAGCCGCCAGATCCAGCCAGACAGCCCCAGTACTCCCAGCAGCAGCAGCAGCAGCAACAACAACAACAACAACAACAACGTAGTAGCAAGTGAGGCATTTCAGTTGCTGAGAAATTGTTGCAATTTGCGCCCAGCACCGAAGCCGCCAGCGAGTGGCAATGAGGATGGCGATAACGATGATGACGATAATGATGATGATGATGATGATCATGACGTTGGCAACGCTCCAATTTGCCATCATGGCAATGGTTGTTGTTTTTGTTATTGCTGTCGGCCAATAAAGTTTTTAAACAAATGAAGTTATTGAGGCAGCCGTTGTGCCGTTGATGTAGAAATAAAAAGGGAAAGTTTCATGTTAAACCGCTTGGCTTAGAATCCGTCTGTGTAGATGTATCTCTGTATCTGTATCTGCAACATCAATAAAGCATTTGGCAAGGTTATTAAAATTGTTCTCTGTCTTTGCCATTTCGGGCTGTGTAATCAGCAGCTTTATTGTCGTTATTCCTTTTGTTGCCTCCTTCAACAAGTGCCATAAATTTTGGCCTTACTTAGTGGGCCTGCCACTGCAACTTGTTCTGCAGTGTTGTTGTATTCTACCTGCCCGCCTGCCTGCCCTCCTCCTCCTCCTCCTCCTTGTCCTTCTCCCTTTTAATGGACACCTTCCAGTTGGTTCATTTTTTATTGCGCCATGTAATTATAGTATACTTGTATCGTATATCGTTTGCAAAATGTGGCTTATTTAAAGCTTTATTTATTAACGCATTTAATGTAAATTGTTTGTAAATGCCAAGGGCCATAATTAAGGGGCGTTCCATGTGTGCAAAGGCATACATACTTGTATAAGTAGAATACTACATATATACATATATACTATATACTCGTATAAATCAATTGAATGTGAGGGAAAACAAATACATTTCGAACGTGCACATGCACTTATAAGTAATTTTAGAGTTGAATTTCTTATTGATGTCAGCAGATGAGGATGCATTTCTTCGGTAGTTCATGAATTGAAGAAGATTCAAGACTGGTGGGATGGCATAGTTAGTGAAGAGATTGGAATCCTTTCATCAAGTCTAGCAGGTCCTGAGCTATTGTGAAAATTTATAAAATGTTCATAAACGTTTGAAAAACGTACAATATTAATGATTCTTTTGAGCAACTTCGAGTGCAAGCATTCCAAGAGTATTTCATTATATTTTTATGCAGAGAGGACCACCTCCAATGAGATCTTAATATAACAAACACCTCTTCAAATGACCCACTAAATTCGTTGCCACTAGAACATACGACTTCTATTCATCAGAAATGTTGGTTTTAATATTCAAATGTAAAATGGAGCCTGATCTCTATGTGTATATTTGCAGAAGAAAAATCTTCTTTTTTCATAGTTCGAAATTATAACCATTAGATCGATTGAAATCGCTTGCAGAATACTGATTGATAGTGATAAATTGTTGATTATTTTGAAATATGGAAAGACGTTACATTTAAAAATCCTACCGAAGCATATCATATAATAAGTCTCTGCAACTTCAGAAACTGTCTGTGAGTCAAAAAATATATTTAAGCTTGTTATATTTGAATGCTTTTCATTAGATCGATGAAAGTTTGCGAACTTTAAAAATAAAGTAAACTTGGTAAGAAAGGTCTAGAAATGAACTCGATTCCAATGAAACTTTGGCCAATTCAAATCGGTTTCTAAAGATGAGAAAATGGTTTTGTACAATTTGACCTGAAAATGGGGTAAAGTCGTTGTTATTAAAAAAATAGGATAAATAACATGCCAATGAAAATAAAGAAACGAAATGAAGACGACTTCAGCAAATTTATTCACTTAGTGGCTATAAGTGATTTAAAAGATATTTCGCAACCAGCAAGTTAAACTCACAAACACACACACACACACACACATATGCACATACATTTTTTGCTTGTTATATGTTATATGTGAATGCCCTTGATTAGGTCGATGGTAGTTTCCGAAACTGAAATCTAAAGTAAACTTGGTAAGGCGTTTCAGAAATATTTAGAAATGAACTCGATTGCAATAAAACTTTGGCCTATTCAAATCGGTTTCAAAAGATAAGAAAGTGGTTTTGTACCATTTGACCTGTAAATGGGGTAAAATCGTTGTTATTAAAAAAATGAAGAAACAAAATGAAGACGACTTCAGCAAATTTACAAATGAGTTCTTCACTTAGTGGCTATAAGTGATTTAAAAGATATTTCGCAATCAGCAAGTTAAACTCACAAACGCACACATGCACATAAATTTTTTGCTTGTTATATGTGAATGCCTTTGATTAGGTCGATGGAAGTTTCCGAAATTGAAACCTAAAGTAAACTTGGTTAGGCGTTTCATGAAAGTCTAGAAATGAACTTGATTGCAATGAGACTTTGGCCAATTCAAATCGGTTTCTAAATATGAGAAAATGGTTTTGTACAATTTGACCTGCAAATGGGTTAAAATTGTTGTTATTAAAAAATTAGGATAAATAACTTGCCAATGAAAATAAAGAAACGAAATGAAAACGACTTCAACAAATTTACAAATGAGTTCTTCACTCAGCAAGTTAAACTCACAGACACACACACTCACATGTACACATACATTTTTTGTTGCTGAGAACGCCCACTTTTCTGCGCTTTTCATCTTCTGCACATTAAGCTGCATGGACCAACACCCACGATGCTTAAACGTACTTCTGATGCTCCCCGATGATCATGCGAATGATCGAGTTGCTGATGAGACCCATTCATGCAGTTGCTGCTGTCTCGAGTCGAGGCTTGATTTTCTTTCTTCATATTTTTGATTTTGGTTTTTTATTTTCATTTTTTTTTTTTTTTGGTTTGTTGGGCTGTTGTCTCGCCAGAGAATTGCTTTTTGTGGCATATTTTATGCGCATAAAGTGGATCATAAAGTAATTAATACGCTAAAATGCGACATAAAAGTGCTGCAGGGCCGTTTCCTTGCAGCAGACTTTGGAGCCAAGACGGGCTAACCAAGTGCGTCGTGGGTTGGCCAAAATGCTGGGCTATCAATCTTTGGAGGCAGGCAACGCATTGAGGCGTGTTCTGTGTGCACTGCAGACAACTTCAATGCGTTGCACCTACGCCTACCCACAACAACTACAACAACAACATCAGCATCAGCAACAACAGCAACAACAATCAAAGTTATAGCAACAACATTTGCTCGGCGCTGGCTCCTCGAAATTGATTTTTTGTTTCGGTTGGCTGTCAGCCAAACCTTGGCATACAGAGATTAAGACCCCTAACCACATTTCAGCCATATAATTATAATGCTTGACTTTTTTCTCTTCCTTTCTTTCCGTTCGGCTTTGGCATGCGTAAAAATTCTTGCCCGGCTTGCCGGCTTGGCTTTCTTTTCGCTGCCGTGGCTCAGCCAAAGGATTGACAGCGACTGACAGACACAATTGCCAAATAATAAATAATTAGTGCGTTTATGCTTTTCACTGGCTGGTCCTTCTTCTTCTTCTTCATATTCTTTGTATGCAGCATGCAGCATGCAGCATTCAGCACCCTGCACGCAGCCCGGCGGAGATTTGTCTTGGGCGGATGGGCGTGGCCCATGGATGTTGACGTGGCATGCATTTTGTATTTTCTGGCTGTAAATCAAATATTTGCTCTCGAGCTCTCCGCAACTTGTGCTAGAGAAAGTGTCAGTGACCCAGATATTTTTTTAGGCAGGCGTTGACTTTTTGTAGACATAACAACAACAAAAATACATTGAAATTAAGTTATTAAAATGCATGAAGCTGAGCGAGAAAATCATTTCGGACATGATCGGGTTACTGAATAAGCAAGTGAATTGTCCAGTTATGGGGACTCAAAAGTTTTTCACAATTCATTTTCAGTGCACCTAAAACATCTAAGAAGGCCTAATTTGGACAATCAAATTATAAGTAAGAAGTATTTAAAGGGTAAGTTTAATTATAGCTTTATTTCGACACACATTTAAAGTTGTAGTCCTTGAATTTGTATTTCCTCGCGAAACTACAGTTATAGGTTTTTGCTGCTTCTACTTATTTCCCGATGGGTTGCAACAATATGGTACAAACTAGTATACCCTTTTGCCTTTTGGGGACAGGGTATAAGCATTTTGGTAAAGATCAAAAGACACCAGAATAAGTTAAGAATTGACAGTTTTCCATAGCTTTTGAATTCTTGCTTAATCCATCATCGTTCTATTGGTATATAATATATTTCAAAAATGTTATCCTTCTCCCGACTCCCCCGCTATTAGGGATTTTTCATAGCTCCCGTATTTTTTGGAATTTTCACCAAAACATGCTATTTTAATGAGAAATTGTTCAGTCTAGATGAATATATGTATATACTTATATAAATTAGTTTGTCTTGCCTGACTGACTGATAGGCAATCATTGGCGTTTGGAAGAAAAGGATAATTGTGAGACAAAATACTACAAAATCTCAACATAACGATGCATAAATGAAAGCTTGTCATCTCAAAAGTAAAGACCGCTTCTGAAAATGTAGAATCTTAGCACATACTCATATAAGTGAGGTTGAAAAAAACAGCAGATCTGGCAGACCTGGGTTTTTGGGAGGTTAACGATTCTATGGCAGCATATAATAAGTCTCTGCAACTTTAGAAATTGTCATGCATAAAAAGGCCTGTGAACCAAGAAATATAAAAGCTTGCTTATACAAGTATGTGAATATAACATAGTTAAACGTTTAAATTCATCTTCTAAATCGCCACATTTAAAAGTTGAAGTTTTCAAAACTATTTCTCTCAGTGGGTATTTGATAAAAAGTTCTATATAAACCCACCCATACAAATACATACTATTAGCTTACAGAGTGGTTTAATATAGATAAGAATTATCAAATATTTCAGAAACAAAAACAGAAGACCGTTTCTAAGAAGATGGTACAAGTGTAGATTGTTTGCTATTTCCCCACGATCTCTGTTTTAGTAACTTTTTAGCTTAAAGAGTGGTTTAATCTAGATAAGAATATAGATAAGAAGAAGAAACATTAAACAAACAAAACTAAGGACCGGTTCTAAAAATATAACAAGATTATTGGGAGTAGATGGGAAGGCTTTCTCATACACAATACGTAGCACTTACAAGTGTAGACTGTTTACTATTTCCCCACGATCTCTGTTTGCTTAACAGACGAAGCATATTTAGCTTAAATAGTGGTTTAATATAGATAAGAATTTTAAAATAATTAACAAACAAAAAACAAATACCGTTTCTAAAAATATAATCTTTGTAGTTGCATATATTTAGGAAATGAGAACTGATGAGAAGACTTACTCGTACTAGTGTAGACTGTTTGCTATTTCCCAACGATCTATATTTGAGTTACAGAAGGAGCATATTTAGTTTAAAGAGTGGCTTAATACAGATAAGAGTTCTAAAACATTTTACAAACAAAACTATAGACCGTTTCTAAAAATAGAATCCATGTACTCGTATGTATATTTGAGAAAAGAGAACAAGATTATTGACAATTGATGGGAAGATTTTCACGCACAAGTGAAGACTGTTTGCTATTTCCCCACGATCTCTGTTTCATTAACAGACGGAGCACAACAACAACCACAAACACTGATAACAGAGCTTGAACTTATTCACCACATCGTGTGAGCGAGTGAGCGCGCTGAATGAAACTTTGGACTGCGAGTGGAGATTGTGAGTGGACTGTGGGGGACAAGTGTTTAGTCGACGCTTAGCCTCTGACAGGTGCAGCCGAGCAATTGTGAGCGAGTGTGATGGCAACTATTGTGAGAAAATTAATAAGCACAGCCAATGCCGCCAAACCGGTAGCGCCCTACAAGTGAGTAAAACACTAACAAAAACACATAAATGTATGAGTTGAGAAAAAAAAAACAATTACATTCTGATTGATATCCACAGTCAAGCCGTGGTGGCCGATCGTACGGTGTATGTGTCCGGCTGCTTGGGTCTGGACAAGAACACCATGCAGCTGGTGCCGGGAGGCGCCTCCGAACAGACTGTTGCGGCCCTGCAGAATCTGGAGGCAGTGCTGAAGGCAGCCGACTCTGGCATTGACAAGGTCATCAAGAACACAGTCTTTCTCAAAGATCTGAACGACTTTGGGGCGGTCAACGAGGTGTACAAAAAAGGTGGGTTCCCAATCAGAATCGTAGCCCCCTCGTAGCCAGCGGCTCGGCAACGATATCGGCTTTTGACTTTGCCGCTGATAAGCAGCGGTTTGGGTTATAAGTTGATCAAGTGTTGCTGCGGCTTATCAATTTATTTGTTTATTGTTTACACATAAACATTTGTAATCTCGCCTATCGCCCTCTCTCCCACTCCCGCCCTCACCATCTGCAGTGTTCAACAAAGATTTCCCCGCGCGCAGCTGTTTCCAAGTGGCCAAGCTGCCCATGGACGCCCTGGTCGAGATCGAGTGCATCGCCATAACGGGAGCCGTCCGCACCCAGACCGTCCAATAGCAATCAAAGTTGTGAGCGGTCGAGCCTCAATAAAGTCGTTGATTGTGTAGAATAAACTGCAATTTGTGTTTTTCATTTTCTATATTATTTTCCCGAAGCTCACGACCAAGGTCACTTAAGATTCGATCAGGTATGCTTGCATATGTCCTACAGCATTATTAACCTTACAAGTTAATAGGGGGTCGACGAGTCGCCAGTAAGAAGTTAAGGTGTGACGGTTTATTTCTTGATAACTAAGGAATTTATGTCTTAAAGCAGCTTAGTCAACCAAAAAGGGGAAATTAATTAGGTTAGATGGAGAAGGGTCCATTGTCATGCTGTACTTGTATGTATAAAACCCATGATTTTTAACCGGGCGATATTGCTAGTGGATTTAGCTAATTTCACGATCTTCAGTTATAAACCTGAGCCTTATGGACAACAATGCAGAAGCTAATCCACGTTCCCCTCCTCTTCATCATCCCAGTAGCATCTGGATAAATCGTTTGAAGGGATGCCAAGTCTGGCGGTCCTACAGTAAGTATCCCCATAACAGTGGAGTAGTTTCAGGAGGTTTTATTCTGTTTTCAATATTAATGAAGCAGGGAAACGATCTACAATAAATGCCATAATACTACATTTTTATATTACAGAAAGAAACCAAACCCAAAAGTTCGAAGCAACCTTAATAGCTTAATCTGTAAGATCCGTCAGCTGTCTTCTCTATAGACGCCTGATGGGGCGCTTCTTCTAGATGTTTTAGGAGTGTTTAAAGGGGACATAAATAGTTCTGATTGGAATTATAATACTGTGCTTTAGTACATTTCTAATTTCTAATTGCGAGCTTGATTAATACTAGTCTATATAATTAGTTGAATATTTAACAATAATATTTTAAAAGACTAATTAGAGGTCACATTGTTCCGATATTTGTAAACCTTGTATAACCTTGATTTAAGGAAATCTTTTGTACATATTTAAAATATCAAATTTTGGAAAGGGGTCTTTTTGTATTTCAGGATGTAAACAGTCATGCGTCTGTTCGGCAAAAAAGGCTAAAAGTTCCTTCCAGATTAGGCAGGTAAAGCAAGAATAGCATTTTAAAAAAGGCTAATATATGTTTAAATTTAAATTAAGGTAAATCGTCGAGTTATAAATATGGCTCTTGTCGTTTTTTGATTTGTTTTAAATAAATAAAAACAGTAAAAAACTAATTTTCAAGGCAATGACACTTCATATTAAATATCCCTAAAGGAAAGTTTCTTATTTGAGTTGACATTGATTATTTGAAAGCATTTTTTTTTACATTTTTAATTATACTGTTATATATTTATAACTTAAATTAAACTTATAGTTAAATACAAATACATTTTAAACTAGGTGTTCAGTCTTAATTTTTGAAAGCATAGCTCTCTAAAAATGCTTTATAATAACAATATTAGACTCGTCCTTCAAGCATATATACAAGTATGTATATATACTTCTATCAGCTATAGTCGTGTACCTTGCGAAGTACCCTTCATGCCCCCCATGGGGATGTAGGGTATTGAGAGCAATCTACATTTTTACTAAGTTTTGTTTTATTTGCCCAACGAACGACGATAATGACTACAATTTTAACTTGGCTGATAAGCGCAAGGAATAGAGAGGGAGAAAGAGAGAGGGACTAAGAGAGAGAGAGAGAGGAAGTCAGCATGAGCTGCTCATTAAATAGTGCCGATGCCGATCTAAACAACAGGTTGCTGTTGGATTAGCCTAGCAGGGAATGGTTGCGTCTCAGGCGTGTGTCAATGGAAAGTTCAATGGTTTGCTGCCCGCTGTTGTTGTTATCGTATTATTATTATTGGTGTTGTTGTTGTTGGTAGTGTTGTTGTTGTTGTTGGTGGTGGTGGTGGTGGCAAGTGAGTGGCTGGCTTTGGCACATTTATAAATTGGTTTCGCTTGCATGCGGCGCATGTGGCGTTAATGTGAGGTTATGTAAAAAATTATGCCACGGCTAGTGACGGCACAGGTAGCGAGTTGCGGGCAGGGGAGGCGACTTGGCAAAACTTTGCATTTAAACCTTATATAGTTTACAATTTGGCGTGCGGCAATTTATCTTTGTTGCAAGTTGCTGGCGCTGCAGTTGCCACTGTTGTTGTTGCTGCTGCTGCTGCTGCTGCAGTTGCTGCTGCTGTGCGCCTTTTGTATTATATTTCATCAAATGTTGCTGCATAAATCATTGGCAACATTCGCTAACTGCAGCAGCATGTTGCTAACGGTAGCTCGGGCCCAATACCAATACCTGGAGAGGCTGCCTGCCTGCTGCCTGCCTGCCTGCCGTTAGACAAAGCGTTTATTTCACATTCAAATTCAAAAGTTATTCATAATGCCGCCAACTTGTAGTTGCAGCAATTGTTGTTGCTGCTGCTGTTGTTGTTGTTGTTGCCATATGCATGCTCCATATTGATGCGGCAGGCCTTTTAGGCAATGCCTTTTTAGTGCAGACTTCGTACAACTTTTTTGTTCGTTTTGCTTGCATTTGTTTTGATTTTTTATTTAAATTTTGTGAATTTGTCTGCACTTTTTTCCTGCCGAGTTTCGTTTACTAAGCTGCCATATGATTTATTGTCCTTGTTTTTGTAGCCACTGTTGTTGTTGTCATTATTGTTGTTTGTTGGTGTGAATTTGAATGGTTTGAATGACGACTATGAGCATAAAATAAACAAACTCACGATTATCGCTTGTTTAGTGCATTGGTGCGCAAATTGATTGTAAAAATTGGGCAATGAGAAGTGTCCCTGGGGAGGGCAGGGGGTTGGACTAAGAGGCGGAATGTAAAGACACCTCGAAATGAGAGTATATGAACATAAAACGCTGCAGCAAAAGCGCTGGATGTGTGGGGAAACCAATCTTGAATGATGCCTTTTGCATTGACTACCTAAAACTATAATTTCCTCTTTTTTATCGAACATTATAAGTACTTCAGGGTTCTTTAGGATTTCTGCTGAGTTATACGGGTGGGTATTATAATGGTGAGGAAGTCGACACTTTTTCGTTGGGGCACTTTATCTCAGCGAAATAGAAATAAATAAATAGTAAGCAATACAATTTGTCTAAAAGACTTAAAAGAATCCATTATTGAAGAATGGGGAAGATTGGAAATTTCCATCCTTCAATCGTTAATAAATTATATGCCAGCACGAATATTGGCCGTTATATAAAAGAAAAGAGAATCAATTTAAACTCTACATATTATGTAAAGGCGCTCTCTTAGAAATAAATATCAAGAAGTGCGATTTTTTAATTTGTCCTACTTATTTTGTTTTTTTATCTATTACTTTTATTTGTATAGCCTTGACAAAGACTCACTTGAATTGTTAGCTATTTGAATTTAAAAAATATATATATTTTGTTCAAATTTAATATAAAGTTCAGTTGCAACTTATTCAGTTGGGAATAGACTATAGACTTAAAGTTGGTTTTAAACTAAGTATCGTTTCTGAGCTGGTTCCAACAGATAAATATCTCCAAAGTAAACGATGGTATGGAAATTTATATGTCTGTAATTTAGTTAACGGCACCACAAAATCGTACAAGTTTAATAAATTTGTTAAATATTCTTTGTCGCCAGTTGCAGAAGCGGTTTAAAATCATATTTAAATTCTTAAAAGTATTGGTGGAAGTACGATCCACTGGAAATGGTTATTAAAAACGACGCTTTTTAAATAAATAAATTACACTTAAATTTGTCTCGCCTCGTAGAACGCAAGAAAGGCCTAAATATTTAGTATATTCGCTTCAAAATGTGCTCAGTACTAATCACTCATATGCTGTCCGATAAAATCGAGATAAGCGAGTTCTAACAAGACTTGAATATGCTTCCAAAATTTCACAAAACTATGGCTCCAATTCGACTCACAATCCTAGCAAGCCAGTCCCGAAAGATAAACCATAAGCATATAATAAATCTTTTGTATAGTTAAAGAGGGAATAGGGACACATCGACTGAAGAATGCCAGCATCTGAATAACTTTTTTTAGTGCCACCAACAAATTTCCACTTTACTTATATATAATATAACTAATTATCTTACTATTCTTAATCATCCTTTTATCAAGTGACAGTGTCGAGATGGGAGGAGTGTAAACCTCATTTATTTAAAACAAAGCTATTGAGAGATTTACATTTAGTCCTTCCCATGTTCTTTCTGAAGAGAATCTAAGCTGCAGAACTTAACCAGAATAGCCTTTGAATTCATGTGGGTTAAGTAATTTCCTCTTCTCATTATACATTTGGCGGTTTCTTAGGATCTTTGCTATTTAAGGACACCTATGAAGTGATAGGAAAAAATCGAGGAAACTGCCGAGAAAATACCAGAATACATAACCTCCTGATCGATCTACAAATATGCCAACGACTTAATGCATATATGAAGATAAAATACGATGTAAGACAAGATGGCTCATTATGAAACTTTGAATTAAAGATTATATAAGATATCATCGCTTGGTTTTGTTTAGCCCCGATCTATTTTTGTCAAGCAGTCTCTAATAAATGTCGAATTACTGCTCGAGATAATCGGCAGACATTTCAATTAGAATAGCAACATCCAGAAAGTGTTTTCTTTCATCTGCGCAACAATTTGTTACAATTACAAGAGTACTGCGAGTAGTGATTATTTTTGTGAAATTGTTAGTCTTTGGAAACTATAGTTCTGCTTTCTTGAACCAAAAATTACAATATTTGAGCCTTTGTAGCGTTAAAAAAAAAGTGTAGCAGCAATCGTCTCTAGGGCCTAATGGGTTAATGCTGGCGGTATTCGCACCCGTGGCGCGCAACATGCACGTTGATTTGCATATGGCGTGCAATTCATTTAAAGCGCTTCATAATGTCACACAATTTATATATAAAAATTGTAATAAATATGCATAAATTGATGACAAGGAGCGGCAACAACAAGTGGGGAACTGGCGAAGAAACTGCGAAAGGAAGAAACCACCTACGCAGACCACAATGAAGCACGACTAATTAATTTCGACGCACAATCAGACGAACAGACGGACGAACGGACAGACAGACAGACAGACTGGGGGACAGATCAAGCAAGGGATTGCAGACAAGACTGCGAACTCGTGGCGTGCCACAAAAGGCAGAACAGCAACAGCAACAACAACAACAGCAACTTGCAAGTTGGTGAAAGTGCGCATAATTTACACGCACATTGCGGGCACGGGGACATCGGATACGGCCTAAAGGCTATGGGCTTTGGGCTTCGGGGCTATAGGGTATGGGATGTCGGGCAAAGGGTATGCAGAATTTATTTACAAATTAAACTCACAATTTTGTTGTAAATTTTTGGCAATTTGCTTATCAACATTGCAATGGATCGGCCTTAACTTTTATCTCCGCTTCACCATCGCCAATTAAGCAAGCCACATGCGGCCCAGTAGCCGCACGAAGCTGTGGTACGAGGCATGAAGTAGACAGCAGGCAGCATGCAGCATGCAGCACGAAGCCCAATGACGATGCTGATGCTGATGCGCGTATTAATTTACAATTTTATCAACTTGCAAGTTGTCATAATTAAAATATTATGGAGCTTAAGTCAAGTTGGTCGTCCCGAGGGCGACAGTCCGCAATTAGTTATTGCATTAAAATCAAGCAAGGCCAGTGAGGGATCCGGGAAGAGCTTTCACCCGAAGCAGCAAGGAAAGACTGATAAATGGCGCCTTAAATCCTTTAGGACCCGCCAACAAATGTGTGCCAAAATAATCATTTTCCACAATTGAATTGATAGCAAAAATTATGACTATGCGTTAATTAGAACAATTGTAATGGGAAATAATCAATAACCCGTAGTAGCTTGCAAAAAACGAGCTAATTAGTAATTGGATATTTTAGTTTTTTTTTTTATGTTGCCAATTTCTATTTTTCATTTGACTATATTTTTCTTATTTATAATGTAATAGTTTTATAGATAACCGATTTTCGAGTTGCCTACAATTTTATATCATTTATCAAACCCGATTCGGAAATCCACTTCAACACCGAGAAAACTAAACATTATTTTAATCAAAAATTATACATTTTCTAAATTATTTATACTTTTTCCACCTGCCTAAATAATTTGTTCATTATAACAATTCCCAGTTATAATTTTTAATACAATTGAAATAAATACAGACGGAAATCGTTTAACAAAAAACTACGTATGCTCCTAAAAATCTGAATTTTTGAAATTTTAAATATTTTTTATTTTCAACAGAACGTTACCTTGCTGCTGCTATCTACGCAAAGCTGGCTGATATGAAACCGCATCACTGTAGATATTTTGTTGTAGCATACTTTTGGGTGCGTGCATTTAGAAACTACTGCGATGTTTTTCTTTACTGTAATTTAAGTTAAATCAATATGTTTTTAAACTATATTAAGTTTCTTTCCGTTATGCCAGCCATTTTTATTTTTGTTGTTCAACTGTTTTGTAAAGCCAACTTAAATGTGTGATTTAAGCGCTTCTGGAACCGCTCATTGATGCTGTGAACCAGATTGTGTGCACGTTCATTTTATGAGTCACTGCCTATGCTGCCAACCTATCGAACCGGCTATCTTAGCGGCTCTATTCTCTGCAAATTGTAAACAAAGTGCATGATTAAGAAAAGTTGACAGCACTACCATTGAAGTAAACAATCTTTTTCTGATTTATTGGAAAAAACAACGAATTTATTAATGCACAACGCAAATTAAACCATCAACTGTAGTGCAAGTTGTAATTAAAGTGCAACCGCACCCACGAAATCGAAACACGCACAGAAGCCGATTGAGGGTAAAGGTAGCGAGCCAACAGAAAATGCGCAACTCACATGCCAAGCCAGGAACAACAACGAAATCGCACACGAAATAATAAGTATAAAAGGTATTTCAGAACCAAAGCACAGTCTCAGTTATACATGAGCAGCGCACAGTGCAGGACGCGACGTCGCCACCAACGCCAAGTGAGCCACAAGGAAGCCCCGGAAGAGGAAGAGCAAGGCAGGCGCAATTGGCGTGACTGCAGCGCATTAAATCAAAGTGTGAAACGTAAACCGGAAGTGCAGCGCCGACGGTGACGGTGACTGTGACGCCGACGCCAACTCCGACGTAGGCGCAACTGGTGGACAACAATATGGAGGTGTATGCCTGGGTAAGACCACAACATGTAACGCCAACGATTGTGGCATTTGCAATGCAAATTAATGACTGACTTCCTACATAGGGCGCCAATTCTCACGGTCAGCTTGGCCTTGGCTACGAATCGGAGCTTTGCTCGTCCCCACAACGCCTGCCCAAGGGCTCGTTTCTGCCGCAGCTAGTGCGCTCCATACGGGGTGGGGGCGGGCATGTTCTGGTGCTCGACAGCAATGGGCGTGTGCATGCCTGTGGTTGGAACAATCGCGGCCAATTGGGCTTGAACTCGACCGAACTCTGTCACTGTGAATTCCAAATGGTGCCCACGGAATTCTTCGAGGTGAGCAGCTTCAATAGTTATCCGTCATGTATTAACTATATTGATATATACTGTCAGGAAGTGCCCATTGAAAGCATCAGCTGTGGCTGGGACATCTCGGGCGCCATTACGGTAAACAAACGTCTTTATGTGTGGGGCTCGAATGCCTTTCAGCAGCTTGGGATTTGCCAGCGCGGTTTTATGGCTGTGCGTCGACCGATGCCTGTGCGCTTGCCGCGTGATGAGCACGCCCTGCGCATAAGTTTCGGTCTGCGACACTGTGCCGTGCTCACCGAGGATAACAAGATCTACGTATTCGGTCGTTTGCGAATCATGGATCCGTCACCCATTGAGCTGGCTATCACATCGACTTCGCTGAATCGCGCCGAGGTGCTCAAGATACAAGCGCATAATCCCAAGGAGCTACGCATTATATCGCTGTCCAGCGGACAGCATCACTTGCTGCTCAAGTGTCTGGATCTGGCGTACGGAGGTGGCACCAAACGTGTCGTGGCGCTCGGGGACAACAAATTTGGACAATGCAACGCCTTTCTTTTCGAGAACGATGTGCGTAAGTTGGCCGTGGGTTGGACCCACAATGCCGCAGTGCTGAAGACCAATGAGATATTGCTCTGGGGGCGCAACTGCTATGGACAACTGGGCGTTGGACAGTTTAGCGAACAACAGGCTTTGCCAACGCAGTTGAAAATTGCTGAGGATAAGAAGCCAGCGGCTGTGCACCTGGGTGCTGAGCATGGACTGCTGCGGACGACAACTGGCGAGATCTACACCTGGGGCTGGAATGAACATGGCAATTGTGGCAACGATTCTACAGAGAATTTGTGAGTGTATTGAGATTGAGTTAGGCCTTAAATTTGCTTATGCCAGATGCATATCCTTTACAGATGCAGTCCCACGCTCGTTAAGTTGCCCAACTGCAAGTTGGCGGGAACAGGCGCCGGCTTTTGTTATGCCGTTTGCGAGCCGCAGAACGAGTAAATTGTTAATTATATTTTCGATTCTTCAATGTTGAAATTGAATAAGTAATTAAAATACCAAAGGTTGTTAAAGTTGTTTTCTATTATATGGTTGAATTATCACCGAAACAGATGGATGTAATTTATTAAATACAGGTCGCTTTTTTATTGTATGTTCACTTATTTCAAGACTCTGGGTATCGCAGCATCTTTAAAGCTTTTAATATCATTAAACGTATTTGAAAATGACTTTGAAATAGAAATGCTTTCAGAAATGAAAGGTTTTCCACTAACGAATGGGTGTTTTGGTTATTCAACCAATTTTTATTAGACTCTAAAATATTGTTATGCATTACGTAAAAATTCCTTATACATAATTACTTTTGTATAAAAATAAACCTTTATCCTTAACAAACTCTATTGTTGGCTTACAGCCCCAACCTACAAAGCGACCTATTTGAACTCTTCATTGGAGTCAAAAGGCGAACCAAGGAAGAGTTTAAGTTGCAAAATCGAACCAAGAAGGTGGAGAGAATCAACTCCCTTTTTTTCCTAAATATTCCCCAGTGATTTCTTTCTCATTCAATCAGAGAAAGGACTCCGCGAACGCTGAGTATAGAATAGAATGAAAAGCACTCCCTATCTCCATAAAAAAACCTCAAGGAAATTCAGACGAATTATTTTTTTAGTATAAAACAATGTTTTTTTTTTCAAATTTTAAAAGAACGCTAAAAGCATTCCCGCTGTTATTGTCTGCCCTGAAATAGTGCTAGAAAACTACGTATGTATGTATTTTTTTTTAATTTTACGAATGCTACCATTACTTTTAACACATTAAGGAAAGTTATTGTAATAATAATATTTTACGTAGTCACTGAAAAAAAGCATTACTTTTTCCTTAAAACTCTTTTCCTTTAGCTTCGATATTCGATTTTCGTTAATAGTTCTTTAATCAGCCATTCAGCCTTGCTAGTAAGTAGTGTTTGGAAATGACGAAATTTGAAAATGTACAAGAACATTTCTGGCGCCAGTGCTACCCATCTCATGTGTAGCTTGCCGGCGCCTGTACGCAATTCTTCTTCTTTCGCAAGCTTCTAGGAACGACGTACGCGCTTATTCCTGCCTTCGTAAAAATGTGTATACAAGTGTAAATTATTGTTTATACTATTTTCTGGCATAGTTTCGGTTTAAATCAATCACAACAGCCTTTGTCTCCATTGCTTGTCCGCCTATAAACAAAGTGAGGATCGTATTACAAAGCTTGGTGTAAGATCATCGCCCCCTCATGGGTGTTTTTAGTTTGTGTTCGGGCGGTGTTTGGATTGAACTCGTCTCTGATCAAAGCTAGAATTATTTGTGAATGGAGTAGCAGGAAAATGTAGTGTTGTCATAAAAAGTTTATACTTCCAATTGCAATTTCAGATATTTGCAAACGGCAAACGAAAAATGCCAAACCATAAGGAAATGTTCGAGGCCGTTGCCGCCCAAGCAGCGAAGCAGACAAAGGCGACCGGCACAGGTAACCCCAACCCTGATCCCTACTCCAATAGCTACAATATATCGGGCAATTGTATACTCTGCCTCTGCAGCCAACATTGCCGAACAGCTGGCTTTGAAAATCTGGCGTCCCACCCACAGCGACGCAGTGCTGGGCGTTCATGAGCGCGATATCGTGTTATCACCACCGAGCAGTGGACGCAGAGCTGGCAGTGGTGCCGCCGGCGGCCTCGGCTCCAAGTCTCTGTATCAAGCCGAAATAGAGCGTGCTCTCTACGGCGACACTACCGGACATCCGAAACCCGATGGTGATGGCTACTACAAGGCTGCTCAGAATTATGCCCTTGCCGGCGATAGCTTCTTGGACTTTCCCGAGGACTTGACGCTATGCTTCGAGGAGCCAGCAGTTGTGCCCCAAAGCGATGAAGTATCTGCAGATGCCAACGACGCCGCAAATCCCGTGTACGGTGTGCGTTTTGGCAACACTAATACAACGAATACTGCGCCTTCAACCGTTTCAACGGCTGCGCGCGAGCCGCCCGGCTTTGAGCGCCCAACAGCTGCCGCCAAGCCATCGACCGCCGGAGGTCCCTATGCTGGATTCGAGCGTCAGACCACCAGTGCTGTGCCTCCAGTGACAAACTCCAACTACGCTAGTGTAAGTTTATGGGTAGTACGTGTTGCATAGAACTAGATATTTATTTGGAATTAAGAGTTTCCTTTTTCGTCACTTATTCCCTAATTCTTCATCCATTCCCCAAAAGCGTAAACTCTCATCTGATTGATAAGCCAAGTATGAAAATGCGGCTATATCCAACTCTCTAATCATGAGTTATAAGATGTCCCAAAATACACATAAAATTTTTTAATAGATTTCATAAGAAAGTTTGGGATAAATGTTGCAACTAATACAAACTATATAATAAGTTTCTATCAATACTATTTATCAAGCATATCGCATTATTTAGAGAACATGACGCTACGTATTAAAATCATAATCTAGGTACTTAGTTGAATTACAATTAACGGTCACAAGTATTAAGAACTGAACTGGGTGTTAATTTAATTTCGGAATTACGTTGCCTTTCAGAAGACGATTAGATTGGAATGACAATTTAGATGAGTCTTTAAACTATTGTTGATCTATTTTAACTTTTACTAATCAATTCTTAAGATGGAAAGTTTTCATTGCGTATATACAATGTAGTTCCAGTAATTCTTCTCAGGATCTTTGAGTGTGCTCCACTTTTTTGTGATATTATTAAAGCAAGTTCTTATGTGTAGGTGCGAAATATTTCTTCTATTTCTTTCAGAAATTTCTTATAGAAATATCTTAAATATTAGGTCTTCAATAGCTATAATTCAAAACACAATAAAAGGCAATGCAAGGGACAAATTTAGGACCTTGGCTCGAATGTTGCATCCGAAACTTCTTCAATGATAAAAATGCAGTATCAGCGTAGAATCAAATATTGCTTCTTAAAATACTGTTTAAACATATATATTATTATATTATTGTAAGAAATCGACCCTCTGGGATTGCTTATGGTATTTCCCAATGCGATTTTAAAAATTCATTTAAAAAATCATAGTAAATCGGATTATAATAAACGCACAAGAGTAGCTAGTCGGCGAAATTGTGCCCCTGCCCTCGTCCGAGACTCTTTTGAATATTGGTGAGAGCAAAATACAAGGATTTGTTATGAGGGAATGAGGTATACAGGTAAAATGCTCTTGGCCAGACACCCAAATAAAATAAATACTTTATACACCGATCGAATGTTTTAGAAAGTGTCCGCCGAAGAGAGTGTCCATTAAGAGAGCTTTCACTGTACCTAAATGTACAATTTGAATATTGAAGTTTTTAAAAGTTTTGCAATTTTTCTGACAATCGACTTTGTTTTCAGGTCGTCGCTCCATCTAACTTCAATAACTTCAGTCAGTTCTGCAGCTACCACAATCTGGCCTGTCAACTGTACCATCAGCAGCAACAACAGCAGCAGCAACAACAGCAGCAGCAGCAACAGCAGCAGCAACAACAACAACAACAACAGCAGCAACGTCAAGTCGCCGGGACAGAGTCCTTGCCCTTGTCAAGCTCCAATCTGTCGACAGTCACCCAAGTGGCAGCCACCCCGATGGCCGCCGATATAACGCAGATCTATCAGCTGTTCGCGCCCCGTTTGCGTGCCAGTGCCGTGCCTAGTACGGTTTCAGCGGCCGCTCTGTTCTCGGTCTCGGCACCACAAACGGAGCAGCAACTGCTCCTGTTCCAGCACCAGTTGCAGAGCACGCTGGAGCTCCACCAGCACGTGCAGCTGCGTCAGCTCCATCAACTGCATCAGCAACAACAGCAGCAGCAACATCTGCATCAGCTTCAGATGCAGCAGCAGCAGCAGAATGCAACTGGCCGGAGTCCGCGTGCCATCTATGGGAGCGGCCATGGCAGCAACGGCTCTGGTCCAAATATTACGCCCAGCATGCCAACATCTACTCCAAACGGAGCTGCCAGAGAGCCGTCAGCTGGCTATATGTAATCAGGCCAGCGAACTGATAAATCAGTCGCGAACAGCTTTAAGCAAAGTTCCAAAGAACTCCACGGAAGGGAAAGTCCTTTGTTCAACTCGAATGGAGCCTGTCCAACATCTTAGAGCACCATTCGCAAAATGTTTGCGTATTCCAAAACCGTATTAAGTATTCCTTTAAAAATTAACTGTCTGAATTATTCAGTATTTCTGTGTAGCCGCTATAAACTTTTCGAATATTAATTGTTAATGGCAGCGATATCTTACTAAAAAAATGAAATATTTGGAGTTGAAATGCTTTTTTTTTTACAGGAAATGTCTCTAATGCTGAATTATTGAACTGATGATGAAATACCAACAAAAAATTAATAAAACAACTTTCTGTATTCAATTAGGACCAATAATTGTACTTCCAAAGATATATTTAATTACATTTTATTCACATTTCCAATAAGATCATATGTTGTCAGCGTCACTTTTAAGTAATGATTTGCTAATTCAATACGCACTTAACTTAAACGATTAAACGATTCTCACAAAAAATAACGATTTGTAGCAAAAATGTTAAACTCCGACCAAATCGATTCTTTTTAAAGCTCTATTCGAGTTGAAATTCTGCTGACATTTAATTTGATATATCATAGATGTTACAAGATAACATTTCTAGGTTCAATTTTTAAGTAAATTCGATACAAAAACAGAAGTGATTTATTTTAGACTACACGATTATTAAACTTGATGTTCCTTGACGGGAAATCCCACCTTTTCACTAATCGAGACGTGCCTTATTAGATTTGTTATCCCTAAAGCGAATTTCAACAGATTTTTCTTGCGGCATCCGCCCCATTTCGACTTTTCTTCCTAATGGATGGTTGAAGGAACAATTTTCTATATTCTATATTTATTTTCTATTTCTATTGGATTTGTTATCCCTAAACAAATTTTACCCAGATTCTTCTTGCAGCATCCGCCCCATCTTTTGCGTTATTTGCAAGAATTCTGACGCACATGTCTACTTTTCTTCCTAATGGATGGTTGAAGGAACAATTTTCCATATTTAATTAGGACCAATACTTGTACTTCCAAAGATATTATTTCTTTAGCGATAGTTTTAAAAAAAAGAGACTAACGTATCAAAATTTCTAAAACCCAAAAAGTTATAAAATATTTATCTTTAAGGAAGACAATTCATGTTTTATTCTGATTAACAAATCCATTTCTATAAACCGAGTTTACGAATAACAAACTATCCTGGTCCACGTCTATTTTGTTTGTCGGTATTGATCGAGTGGATCATCGTTCGGGCCTCATGAGCAACCCGAACTCTAACGAGCATTTCTATCATTTATAATGTAGATTGTGAATTATCATGTTCGATCAATGCTTCACTATGATATATAAGGTTGGAAGTTGTGATTCTAACTGAATACTCGCATTTAGCTCATTATCAAACGATGATTCTTTGATATCAAATACCTGCCGTTGGAAGAAACGAACAATTTTTTGAAATTTCTGGGAATAAAATCCATTGCAAACATATTCGATATACTATATGTTCTTTTATTCTCATGTAACTCGGACAGCTAGCAGGTTTTCTTAAGTTTTGAAAAAGTCTTTACTCAAAAAACTTTTGTCTTTGTAAATAAACGTTTACATTTATATAAAGGCGGAAAGGTACATTTGTAAGGATATAGTATAACCATCGGCGCAACTTGCCTTTGTTTATTTGGTACTACAAGATACTACAAGTATGGATAGGCTGCTTAGGCGACTGGAGCGAAACCGATGCGGTTGTTGCCCAAATCGAACTCAGTATAGTATTGACCAATGAAGACATCACCCAAGATCCAGAAATCGGTGCCCATATATTCGAAAGCGGACATGCAGGAGACGGTGCCATCGCTGTCTGTCGACTGAATGATGTAGGCAGAGGGTTCCAGAGTGAAGTCGGTGCCGCCAATGTTCAGGGTGAGAACCGGCATTGAGCTAACCGAGGAGCAATCGACCAGATTGCCATCGCTTGTGTCAGCACCAATCAGCTCGCTGATGATCTCATAGGCATCTTCGGGGGCGACAATGAGGGAAGTGCCGGTATCGGCGATGGCCTGGCAGCTGCTGCACACCGAGTATCCATCGATGGTGGCGCTGGCCATGGTGAATTGCCAATATCCCTGCTCGGAGATGGGCACATAGGTCAGAGAGCCGGTGTACAGGCTGGAGTCGGAGCCACCGAAGATCAGCTCACCACCATCTGTGGCAGAGCCAGCACGGGCCAAGTAGAAGGAGAACACAGAGCTATCAACCAGACCCTGAGACACCATGTTGTAGAAGGGAGGGACGACGCTATCGACAGCCAGGGATTCGTAGGCCATGCCAAGAATACCATCGAAGTTGGCGTCGTTGAAGTTGGTGCCTGGCTCAGAGGTGGCCTCGGCAAAGGTCTGGCTGGTGATGGTCAGGCCATTGACATCGACAGTATCGGTGGACAGGAAGCCGGACAGACTGCCAGAGCCATACTGGATGGCGAAGCTCTCACCATTGGCCACATAGGTGCTGGAGGCGCTCGAGTCGTACTGCTTGTGATTCAGACAACCGGTGCTCGGGCAGGTGTTGGAAGGCACCCACAGGTTAGAGGAGCCAGAATCGAACAACACCTCGAAGGACTGGGGGGGTGTGCCAATGGTGATCTCACCATAGTAGGCCATGTTCAGGGAGTTGGAGAGCTCCTCCTCGTTGAGAGCGCGTGGGGTGGGCAGGCGGTATTTGGAGCGGAGGAAGGCCTTCTCGGCCAGCACATTCTCACGCGTCTTCACGAAGTTCTCACGCTTGTGCACGGGCACGCGGTGCAACTCAGCGCTCGCCAAAGCGACGATCACTGCCAAAGCTCCCAAAACCTTAAACATTTTTTGCTGCAACAGAAAGACAGTTGGGAACCGCTTAGAGTTGCACCTACAATGAATGTATTGTGCCAGAAGCAGCCACTTACCTATTTGTTTATTGGAAATAAACTAAATGGTAAATAGGCCAGACACTTTCATTTATAGCACACAACCCTCCCGCTCTTATCATCCAAGATACTAACGGTACTTGTGCCCGAGTCAATCAATCCAGAGCAGATAACGCGGCACGTTCCTAATATCGGCTACTTGGCCATTGTTGAGTGTTTGTAGGTGTGCATTATAATCATTAGATTTGCAATACTTTGAGGCGGCAAACGAGTCTGTCAAACGACCGAAGTGGAAAGCTACTTTTTAAGGGATTGTCAGATGGATTGATAGGCCGCATTGTGTAGCAAATAAGCGGGGACACCTGATGGCCTTCTGCACACCCTATTGATATTTAATTATTCCTTTATTATTGCTATTAAGTGTACTGCTTAGGGGCTTTGAACCTCGTATCTCCATGGAACTGAAGGCTCTTACATTTGTAATCTTTAAGAATAGTTCGACGTAAAAACAATATTTACACCTATTTCTAAACTGGACTAAGTAGTGGTCTAAGCTTGTTTGAAGACAACCATAAGTAGCATAAATAAAGGGACTACTACAAGTATCTGCAAAACACTCATGGTTAGAAGAGATAGGGGAGGGAATGAAGAGACCACTAAGGAAATTTTTCAATGGCTGTTTAATATAAGCACTTAATTCTTTTCTAGATATTTAAAGCACTGCAGTTACTCTTCCATCAGAGAACACTATTTTGCAGATCTCCGAGCTTTAAATAACAGATGTTGACTAAATCGTTCTTTTCCGATGTTCTCCAAATTAATTAATTACATATAATTGTCATTTCCAAAGAGACCATACATTATCAGCTATACTTTCAAGATGGGGTTGTAAAAAAACTTCGATTGTTTTTTAAATAGTCGATGTTTATTTTATTTTATTTATTCATAATATCAACAATAATACTGTCGATTATATTATAAAACTTAATATAACGAATTCAACTAAATTTATATTGTGAGTACGCGATGTTTTCCGTTGTTTTTTGGTACGCGATACATCGACTATAATCGATGCTTTGGCAAAAACATCGAAAGCTTATTTTAAAAGGAATTCAAAGGTAAAGGAAATATTGTTGGAGACTCAATATTTAAAACCAAACATAAAGAGTTTTTTTTCAGCACAAATAAATGAATCGATGCATTGATTATCTGTCGCGACTTATCGGAATACAATCGATGGCACTTGAAATATCGATTGTGTGAAACATTGATTCTTTGTAGTTTATTACAACCCTACTTTCAAGTAATGATGTGCTAATTCAATACGCATTTAACTTAAACGATTAATCGATTTTCAGAAGATATTAATTTTTAACAAAAGTATTAAACATCGAAGAAGTCGATTCCGTTACGATTCTTGTCGCAGCTTTATTCGAGTTGAAATTCTGTTTATATTTAATTTTACAGACTTCGGATGTTGCAATGGAATGTTTCTAGGTTCATTTTTGAATAAATTCGATATAAAAACAGGTACTGGTTTGTTTTAGACTACACGATCATTAAATTTGAGGAGCTCCACACCTTCCCTATAATAATCGCTTCTCTAATCGAGATGTGTCTTTATTGGGTTTGATATTTCAAAAGCAAACTGAACTGATTCTTCATGATGCATCCGCCCCATCTTTTGCGCTATTTTCTTCCAATTAATGTTTTCATAGTAGTGCTTCTTTTGTTTCTTCCTTTACGGTGGAGCTCACCCGTAGTGCCTTAAATAGCTAATCTTCCCCACTTTCAATATAATTTAATAAATGTATTCATTACGTACTTAAGATAGGGTACCGTCCAAAAAAACTACTAGTAGCTGTTTTAGTTTATTTTTTCGAGCTATTTTTATATATAGATTTGGATTATTTTAGAGCTGTTTAAAAATAAAAGGCGGATGATTAAATATCGAGCACATGTTATATTACTTGTAAATATGTTTTTATATCACATATTAATTACTGATTTGGGCAAAGCCCAGGCGGTTGTTGCCCAAATCGAATTCGGTGTAAAACTGGCCGAGGAAGACATCGCCAAGAATCCAGAAGTTCGTGCCTATGTAGGTGAAGCTGGACATGCAGTACGTGTTGTTGGCCGAGTCCGAAAACTGGGTGATGTAGACCGAGGGAGGAAGCACGAACAGGGTGCCACCAATGTAGAAGCTCAGCACGGGCAGGCTGGAGACTGTGGTGCAATCCACAAAGTAGTCCCCGTCGATGTTCGTGGCACCAATCAGGCTGTTCAGCAGCTGGTAGACATAAGGGGGACAGGCGATAAGCGAGGTGCCGGTATCAGCAACTGCCTGGCAATTATTGCACAGTACATTGCCATTAAAGGTGACGTTGTTCACGCCGAACTGCCAGTAGGCGGGCTGTGAGACAGGCACGTAGGTCATGGCACCACTGTAGGAGGTGGCATCAAAGCTGCCCAGCGTCATGAAGCCGCCATCGAGAGCGGTGCCATTGCGGTCCAGGAAGAAGCCGAATTGGGGCAAGTCAATGAGTCCCTGCATGTAGAGATTGTAGAAAGGTGGCATTACATCATCAACAGCTAGGGGCTGATAACCCAGGCCGAGAATGCCATCAAAGTCGACGTTCGTGAAACTGGTGCCTGGCTCCGAAATCGCCTCGCCAAACGTCTGATTCGTTATGGACAGACCTGCAATGGTGACCGTGTCGGTTGAGAGGAATCCGGACACACTGCCGGTGCCATACTGTATCGAGAAGTTCTGTCCGTTTGGCACATAGGTGCTTGATGCTCCCGAGTTATATTGATTGTGCTGCTGGCAGGCAACATCCCCGGCCTTGCATTGTGCCGAGGGCACCCACAAATTGGCAGAGCCGGTATCGAAGACCACTTCGAAGCTCTGGGGTGGATTGCCAATGCTAATCACGCCATAGTAGTCCATGTTGTCAGAGTTCGAGAGAGTCTCCACATTGGAATCATTATCGTAGTCCGGCTGGTTAGAGCCATAGTTGTTGTAGTCCTGGCCATAATCGTAGGTGATGTCCACAAACTTCGCGTACTTCTGACGCAGAGCACTAGCCCTCGCCTTCAGATGGTGACGACTGAGTTTGTGGTCGCGTTTGTGGAGAGCTATGCAGTTGAGCTCAGCACCCACCAGCGCGATAATGGCGAGTAGAGCCACAATTTTAAACATTCTTGAGACGCACATTTTAAACAGTTTGGGGCCTTTAGTTTGGGCCACACTAGCGGTGGCTTCTTGGCGAACCACTATTTATATGACTGTGATAAGGCAAAGCAAAAAAAGCTCCCGGGGATTGATCACCACATATTAGATAGCAACATTTATCGTAAAATAGATAGGGACTGCTTGATCGATTGGGATAATTGTTGTGTTTTCATGTAAAAGACACCCAGCTGGCGCATGCATACGATAAGGAGGGATTCATTATTGAAGATACCATATCTAGTGTTGCAGTCTGCAGCAAAGTTTTCTATCGAAAAATTAAAGGATTTATAAAGCTTAGAGCAAATGTTTAAAGCATGACCAACATAATTTGTGGTAAGAGCTTTTGGACAACAGATATTCAACTAAGAACTTGAATATTGTACATTTCAATATGACATCGGGGCTAGATGTGTTTAAATAGAATTTTAAAAGATATTCAATCTTCAAACCAATTTGATTATCACTGCGCATAATACAATTTAGAACAAGGTTGTTAATTCGGCTACCCCTTCTATTTCTTAGAATTCGAAACATTTTTCACTTTCTATCTATATATAAAAAGAATTCTCAATGATCTTCAAACAAATTGGATCCTCACTGCGAATAATACAATTTGAAAAAAGGTTGCCCATTCACCTATTAGTGGTGGACTCGGTTTTTATGGTGACCCCTTCTTTCTCTTAGAACTTTAAACATTTTTCACCTTCTGAGTTTAAATATGAGTTCGATTCTAGATCTAAATAAATCGTAAATAGAATTTGAATTGATGTTCAATCTTCAAACAAATTGGATCCTCACTCATATTACAATTTTGAACAAGATTGTTACATTATCTATTCGTTGTGAACTCGCTTCTTATGGTGACCCCTTCTTTTTCTTAGAACTTTAAACATTATTCGCATTCGCATTTAAATATGAGTTTGATTCTAGATCCGTTTAACTAGAATTTTAAATGAAATTAAATCTTCAAACAAATTTGATTCTCTCTCCCTTCTTTCTCTTTGAACTTTATACATTTTCCAGGCTCGAGTACAAATTTTCTAAATAAAGCACTGTCTACAAAATGATGGATCGTCATTTCGGACTTCAGCAGATTATTTATTTTCGCATTTGAGTTTATTTCGTTTAACGGTTTCATGAACGCCTTAGGCGACGGTGGCGAAGCCAACCTGGTTGTTGCCATAGTCGAAGACGGTGTAGTATTGGCCAATGAAGACATCGCCCAAGATCCAGAAGTCAGTGCCCATGTAGGTGAAGCTGGACATGCACAGGGTGCTGCCATCATCGTTCTGGACGTCCACAATGTAAGCCGAGGGCAGCAGAGGGAAGTCGCGGCCGGCAATGTTAATGGTGATTGTGGGCAGCGAGTCAACGCTGGAGCAGTCTACATAGTAGTTGCCATCATCCTCCTCGACGGCGCCAATGGCTGCGTTGAGGGTCTCGTAAGCATCAGCGGTGACCACAATGAGGGAGGTGCCGGTATCAGCAATAGCCTGGGTGCTGGTGGACACCTGGTTGCCATTAACCTCAGCATAGTTCATTTCGAATTGCCAGTAGCCTTGGGTGGTGACGGGAGTGTAGGTGATCTCACCGGTGTACAGGGTGTCGTCGATACCGCCCAGAATGAGCTCACCGCCGTCAGTGGCGGAGCCAGCGCGGGTCATGTAGAAGGAGAAGACCGACTGATCCACCAGCTTCTGCGAGACGATGTTGTAGAAAGGTGGCACAACATCATCTTCGGCCAACTGCTGGTAAGCCATACCGAACAGACCATCAAAGTTGGCGTCAATGAAGCTGCTGGCCTCGCTCTGAGCCTCGGCGAACACCTGATCGACAATATCCAGGCCAGCGACACTGACTGTGTCCTGAGACAGGAAGCCTCCCATGCTGCCAGAGCCATATGAGATGTTGATGGTCTCACCGTTCTTCACATAGGTGCTGGACTTGTCGTGATCGTACTTGTTGTGCTTCTGGCAGGCAACATCGAAGATCCAGCAGTGGCTTGAGGGCACCCACAGGTTCGATGAACCGGAGTCGAACAACACCTCGAAGGATTGCGGGGGAGTGCCAATGGTGATCTCCCCATAGTAGGCCATGTTGATGGAGTTTGTCAACTCCTCATCGCCCACAGCACGCGTCTTATTGCAGATTGTATTTGGCGCGCAGCAAATTCTTCTCACCACGAATGTCCGAGACCTTCTTCTGGAAGTTTTCACGCGCCTTAATAGGCATGCGTGCCAGATCGGCACTGGCCAGTGCCAGCACAGTGAGAGCTACGAGAAACTTGAACATGCTGCAGAATAGAAGAGTCTTTTTGTAACCCCTTTGGCTAGCCGAGTTCCCTGCTGCGTCTTACCTGAGAATGGGTTGGGTTTGCCAAACAGAGGGCAATAATAAACTGGAGCCAAGTGAGCCACATATTTATACTCGACAAGCACGAGATTGTTTTGATTGACGCTATCGTGCTGCGCATTTTGATTGGCCCTGGCCATATCTTGAATTGCATGCGCCCCTATCCAATACTTGCTATCAATTAGTGGGCCAATTGGCCATCTCCCTAGCCTCGTAGTGACGTGAAGACGCAGTGTTTGTTTAAGCAAACATTCAAAATTTAAATTTATACTTAAGCGATCGATAGCGCATATCTTAAGCTACGCGGAATGGCCAGGTTCTGATTGAATTGATAACTTATCGGTAGACAAAAACAAATCAGTTGCGCGACTAACTTTGAAGTGCCTGCGGGTCAGTAATTGTTAAAAGTCTTTTCAGAAAATATAGGGCTTGTTAGATTCAAAACATATAAAGCTTAAAGCTTAATTGCTTGGAAAGGAAAACACAATTAAAATGCCACAAACTGTTTTTAAATCACTTGATATAGATGTAAATATTATCAGCATTACGTCAAGGCAATCGAGCATATTAAAGACCCGACAAACTGGGTGACATTTTTGAGGAATTTATACAACGCTCCATATTTTTCAATGTGTCTAATCTTTCTACAAATTCATAATATATGCGTACCAGGAGAGTCGTCAGAAGACTGCAAATTATGTATTCAAGATTACACAATTAACTGATAATATTAGCCATACTTGTACATATAAGTAGTTTAATAGCAACCATAAGGTATAATATATAGTAAGTTATTAGGAAATTAGAGAATTGTGTATAAGAAGAAAAGCATATGATTAATACAATTATTATAAATGGGTATTCCTTTAAGTAATAATCAATACAAATAATAAATATGAGGCTTACTTCAGGTTAATTTTTAAAAATACAATTATAATTTTAAGAATCTAAGATCTTAAGATCTTTCCATACTCTAGGGACATAGGAAATGTCAGTGGAATACCGATCGAGGAATTGAATTGAAAAATAATTACATAAGCAAACAAAAAATTGCGTTATTTGACTCAAAAGTGTCTAATACATATAGCAGAGTATAGAGTATTAGCCTCAAGAAACATTTTTTTATTTATTTATTTTTTAAATGTTCCTATGCGATGTGAAATCGACATACGAACGGCATGAATAAGCTATAGCTCCGTGGCCTTAAGCTGAGTTACATAACTATATAAATATTGATAAAAAACAAGAAACATATTTTCAATAGTTCTTCGGATTTAAACACTTCACCAATTTCGATTAGACATAGTTCCTAATTTTTTATTTGACGGATGCACAACTTTAAGTTTCGTTTTGGGAAATAAACTATCTCTTGTTATATTCTTGATATACTTATTTTATTAAATTAACAAAATAGGCTGTTGATACAATTTACAATATTTATATAAAAAGCTAAGAAAGCTTACAAAATAACTGTACAATTATGACTATTGCTCCGATTCACAGCGAATTGTAATCAGAGACGTTATAGACATAACAAAAAACAGTGAGTGGAGGAGAAATCAAAATTCTAATTACGAGCTCATTGAAATAAATAAGAAAAAAAAAAGATTAAGGAAAATCTCCAAATCGATGGGGAAAGTTTTTTGCTAGTTTTGAACTCACAGCAGTAAGTGGTCTAAGATTTTCCCGGAGATAGCTAAAGAGGACAGTATGCTTTATCTTTTAATTCCTCTCTTTTAATTCCTCGTACAGTCACAATATCCGTTCGACTAACTTCAAAAGCTGAGCTTTATTTATATAATTAGAAATACTCTAAAATCTCGGCTGTATCGTTAATTCAAATCGAAAGATAGCTAAGATATAGAAAAGAAATTTTAAATGTTTATTGTGAAACTCATAATTAAAATACAATCCTATGCCACCTAGCGGCTAGTATGTGAAGCTCGAAGCATTCCAGCCAGGACAAGAACCAGTGGAATTAATAATGTTTATTCGCCGCTAGGGGGAAGAACACCAATTCTGTCTATAACTTCTAATAATCATTTTTTGATGGCAAAATTTTAAAACGAATTAATTACAATTTGACAAATGTGCCTAATGGTTTTTAAAAATTATCGCATTTTTCCTGCAACTGTTGTTTAGTTAAACGAGAGGACCGAGGAGTATAATTTTTTTAATTGTATAAAAACGAGTTATAGGGTCCTGCTACTGTTCTGTTTGTAATTAAATAGAAACAAGAAAGGAATGCTAAAGTCGAGCAGGCTCAACTCTTAAATACCCTGTACCACCCCACAAAAAAGTAATTAAATTAATTAAATTAAATTAATTAATTAATTTAATTTAATTAATTAACTAAATTAATTTAATTAATTAACTAAATTAAATATAAAATATTTCATGCATGCATAGATACATTTACATTTACATCAGAATCGTGCCTTATGCGTGTTTGAGTACTTGTACATATGTATGTATGTGTGCATTGGGCCTGGTTATATGGCTATAACTTTCTTTCTGATCATTCTTTCATAATGAAACTTGGTATACGGATATATAATTACTAACCTAATGTGACTACCAAATTTTAGTTCAAAATTCCAAGAATTACGGGAGTTATAGAAAATCTTGAATAGGGGGGGAGTGGGGGGGTGGATCAGAAAAAATGAACAAACTCGTCCTTTCTCGGTCTCAGGAGAATCTGTATACCAAGTTTGGTTATTCTAGCTCTTATACTTTCGGAGATCCTTGCGTTCATACAGACAGACAGACGGACAGACAGACGGACAGACAGACGGACAGACGGTCAGACGGACAGACGGACAGACGGACATGGCTATATCGACTCGGCTTGTCATGCTGATCAAGAATATATATACTTTGTGGGGTCTACCAAGCCTCCTTCTGTGTGTTCCATGTGCACTCGCACAAAACTAATATACCCTTGTACCCTTTGGGTACAGGGTATAAATATGATCCCTGCTATTTGGGGACCCCATTAACCCAAATAAAAAAACGACAAACTACAAGTTCCGTTGGAACCGCAGCTTAAAAGTTTGTCGCGTTTGCCCAACTTTTCACTCCTTTCTCGTCCTGCGCAGCCGTGCATAACAGCGTACCCTTTTGGCTTTTCAGCCACCTAAACGCTCTTTGTGCTGAACTATGCGGGCCTATGGCATCATCGCCTTCGAGCCAATAACGAACGAAATGAAAGTGATTGCAAAAGTTTTTCGGCCGCCTCATTTACGCCAAAGATATTCCAAGTTTTATTTGCTAATTGCAACGAAATTGCGTGAGGCCACAAGGACAAAACTTCCATTTTTCACTTGTGGTCGTACACATACCACACACACACACACACACACAGCCACACACAGAGACACATACACACCTACAAGGACAAAGGACGAGCCTCAGACGACTGTCGCAATGAGCCAAGGGCTGTGACAACATTTGCAGAAATTGCAAAAAAAGAACGAAAATACAAAAATACAACAGCCGGCGGAGTTCGATGCACAGAAGAAGTTTCTACCTTAAGACGTCGCCGCCGCACAGTTTCCCAGCGTTTTTCCGCAAATTTCTTTTCAAGTTTTTCTCATTGCTTCTTGGGCCAACATTGTAATTGAATTGGCGCTAAGTTCTATTAAGTGGCGTCAACTTTGTGGTTTGGGGCTGAAACCCCTCGCATTGCATGTGAGTTTTTCATATGTTTATCGCAGTTCAATATATATGTATGTTTATCGTATGACTATATAGTCTGTATGTACGAATATGTTTGTTTGCCTTGTTCTCTCGGCGGCTGTTTGTGACTGTCTGCAATGAAAGTGACTGCCGAGTACTGTGTGGCCGCCAACTGAAGGGCCAACTTGTGGCCAGCCCCTGCACACTGTCCCAGCAAATGGCTTTCCATCATTTTAAAAAACAAATTGGAAAAGTGTCAAAAGGGGGGATTTTCAAAAGAATGTTTTCTCTTCTAACTATACTTGATGGAAATGAATAGCTTTAGGAGAAAATTTCTCTAGATATCGAAGCAAACTAACAAAAAGTGATCCTAACGCCTCTCAAAAGAATTGCTTTATAAATGAAATGTATAATTAAAAAGATTTGTTCTTGTTGTTAACGAATATGCGTTCTTTGTTTGCAAATATGACGTTGCTTGCTAAATTTGCCTTTTAAAATTTTATCAAAATCGTATCAAATTATACAAAATTAAATTCGTGGTGTAGATTGTATTCAAAATATTATAAAAAGTAAATAAATAAAAATTCATAAAAAAATTAAGGAATACGAGTATTGGAAATCTAATATCAACCAGTTATTGATTTATCGTTTTAAATGATTTATATATTGATTTAAAAGTTATTGAGAATCAAATGGAGCATCAAATTGGACTTAGGAATACAAATAAATTGTTAAAAAGTCTAAATATTTTGAATCTATTGATTCCAATACAATAAAGTACAGTGAAATCTCTAATTGCGATGTTTTCTATTTGTATGTTTTGAGAACAAAATACACTACATTTGTTGGAAAGAAATGAAATTGTAGGTACCAGAATTTATACGAAAATGGTGGATAGAATTATTAAGACCGGGATACGTTTTCAAAGGCATCAAGAGAAGAAGATGACACTTTGAATACACACTAGAGAATTCGCCTTTAACGCAATATTGGTGAATTATACTTAGAGAAAGCATAGCAGAAAAATTTTACCCAAATATTATTATTATTATTATTATTATAGTTCCTCATTGTACTAATACAGCTATTTATTTGGATTAAAATAGAAAATAAAAAAAAACAATTGATTTATCGAAGATATACAACTTTGCCTTTTCGCTAGTTTTCGTTAATTTGTTTATTAACGTAATACTATATAAGGGAATTACCGACTAACAGGCGATATTTATAAAGACATTCAACCCATTGAGAGACCTATCTTT